CTAAGAATCCCTAGATGAGGTAGGGCAGCAAGCAATGGGCCTATATACCTAAGTCCCCGCCCCAGAGCCGGCCCCCAGGGTTCAGACTCCTGGAGCTTTGTGGCCCAAAGTAGAGATACGGCCCTCCAGACATGAGTCTATGTCCGGCCTACCAGTGAGCCACCACTAACCCAGAGGAGCCAGGAGAACAAGAAGGGACCGCTCACAACCAAACCGCTACCTCTCAAGCCCAGGACACACTGGCACCTTCATGGGCACTTCCCTGGCACGGCTGCCTCCAGTCTACACTCCAACTCTGGGAAGAGGACTCGCCACCCCCGTTGTGCAAATGAGGAAACTAAGGCTGAGAGATACTTTTGGCAGATGGGCTGCCTTTGGTCTAAGCATAACTAGCGAGTACATCATAAAGCAATGCCAACCACCACGGCCTGAAGAACTGCCAAGGTGGGCAAGGCAGCTGATGCCTGGGAGGATGACAGAGGTCCCACTTGGATATTCACAGGGGGTGTCTCTGGAAAAGTGATATTTGAATTAAGCCCCAAATGAGGAATGAGAAGGTGGCAGCTACATGAGAGCTAGGGAAGAGAGTTCCAAGCTGAGGAAACAAGTGCAAAGGTCCTGAGGTGGGAAAGAACCTGACGGGTATAAAACAGGCCAGGACACTAAACCTATCTATGGAGATAGAGTAGGGCGATGAGAAGGAGGGGCTGTCAGCAGAGGCCGACCACCCAGGCACTCAGGCTGTGGTGTGAGGTTTGGATTTTACTCCAAGAGCAATGGGAAGCCACTACAGGGTCTCATCAGGCAAGAAATGAGATCTGATTGATGCCTGGCTGCTATGTGGAACCTGGACTGGGGGTGAGGGCATGGGTTCAGGTGGGGGCCAAGGTCGAGGCAGAGAGAGGCTGGAAGCAGCCATTACCGCCTTCTGGGTGAGTGACGGCGACAGTGTGGGCTTTAGGGTGGCAACTGAAGTAGAGAAGTGGGAGATCTGGCATGTTTGGAAGGGAGCCTAAGTACCCTGTCCTTATCTGGTGGCCAACTCTGCACCTTCAGAAAGCTGCCCAGCAGATCCTTCTCCACAGCCCACCGCCCACATCAGGGCCGGCTCCACCCAAGATGCCCCAGCAGGGCCTTCTGAGACAGCACTCTTCTGACCAGGGCCTGGTTCCAGTCTGTTCATCTGTCTCTTCTACTCAGCGAGGCATTCCCAGAGACAGAAAGGCTGGCTGTGACCTATGTGGTGCCCAGCCTGGTGCCAGACTCCTCCTAACAGGCTTCACTCCAATCAGGGCTGGTGATCAACCATCACTAACCCTCCCCAGCAAGGCCCACTGGCTCCCTCTCTCTGAGGCTATAGAGGGCTGGCTGAGTGTATCTCTGCAGAGCTTCACTGGACATAGTGGCCATGGGTCAGCAGCACTTCCTTCCCCTGCTCAAGTCTTGCTCAAACCTGCACCTCCTAATCCCCCCAGGGCTCATTAGCACAGCTTTCATCTAACCCCAGACCCTGGAGTCCAGAAATGTGAGCTCCATGGTCAGGAGTCCAAGCAAGAGTCCACTGCCTCCACTGGGCTCCCCAACATTGGAACGGATGCCTGACCCCTGGCTTGGGGCATGCACAGACACCAGGATGGCCGTGGAAGTCAGGCACAGGGGAACAGCCCCCAATCCCTGCAAGAGCCAAAAGGCTCAGCTGTTTTTTTGTTTTTTCAATTGACATCCAATTTGTATACCATAAAATTCAGCGTTTTAAAGTATACAGTTCAGTGGCTTTTAGCATATTCACAAGGTTGTATAACCTGCACCACTATCTAATTCCAGAACACATTCATTACCTCAAAGAGAAACGCTATAGCCATTAGCGGCCACTCCCCATTCCCCCCTTTCCTCAGTCCCTAGCAACCACTCATCTATGTTCCATCTCTATAGATTTGCCTATTCTGGACACTTCATCTAAATGGCAAAAGGCTCAGCAATCTTCCAGGCCCAAGACTCCAAGTGGAGCCATGGAAGGGGCCACAAGAACAACGGGGCTTCCTATCCTTTTTGAGAAGAGGATTTGCACCAGACTGGCAGTCACGCACATCCAAGAATCTGAGTTTCCCTAGGGAGCGAAGCCTTACTCATCCCAGAATTCCCTTAAAGCCAGGCCCAGAGTTGGCCCTCCCACTTCCCCCTCCCAATCTCAGAGCAGAACAAAGCCAACAAAACAAAAACAAGCCGTGGCTACTGGTCTAGGCCAGGAACTGTCTACAAGCCTACATTAGATGCTTGCCAAACATCAGCCATGAAATAAACTTTGACCAATTCTCCGTTCCCAAAAAGAGAATTCACAAGAATTCACAAGAAGCCATGTATTAAAAAGAAGCACCCTTTTAGGTAAAAGATCCCCCTCTCCCCACTGGCAGTTGGCTGTGAGGTGGTCATTTGGTCCATTGCTCCTGGCAAGGTTTGAGTCTGCATGCTTTGAGGCATCCCACATGGTAGCTACTCACTCATGCGCAGAGGACGACCCCAGCATGGGCTCTCCCCACTGTCTGGGGAGGTTAAGCAACTGGCCTTAAAAGCTCTTCGGCACAACTGGTGACCACTCGGATTCCCTCAGAGGGGGCAAAGCGGGGAGGGGGCCTAGTTCTAAGGCTCAAGGGCAGGGGCTGGGCAGCGTGTCATCTGTCCCATGGGCTCAGGAAAGCAGAGCTTGGGAAGAAACCTCCCAAGGCAGTTCTTCCTCAGGGCCCCTACAATGGACTCCTGCCCCACTGTAAGGGTATCTTTTCTGATAAATGTGTTCCCAAAACACGGAGTCAATCGATTTTGCTTTTAAAACCAGCCCTAATTTAAATGTCCAACAACTTTTTGGGTAATACCAACAATTACTTCTATTTGCTATTCATTTTTAACTATCAGGTTTGCTTAAAAGAGGCTCCTCCCTTGTATTCATGTACATCTTCCTCACCCAGTGTGACCCCAACTTAGGCCCATGCCTCTGTCCTTGTTCCCAGCCCCATGGAACAGCTGATACCAGCACATAGAAAGTCAACTCCAGACCTTGTCTTCCTCCTCCCCTGTTCCCGGAAGCCAGGCAGTGGGAGGCTGAGCTGGGTGGGGAGGAGGACAAGGGGACTTACCTCTACAGGAGAGGGTATAACACACAGAAAAGCATCTGCTGTAGCTTGAGAAAGATGCCGAGGTTGAAAAAACAAATGACCCAGGCTAGGGGAAGAGTGATGTGCCTGCTTCAGCACCCCCCTCTCCCCGCTCCCCCCACCAAGAATCCTGACTGCTGGAGTTGGCCATCCGTCCGCCTACACTCTGACCAGTGTGAGCTAAAGGAGACCAAATGGTCCCATCACCACACCCTTACAGAGAAGGGGGCCCTCCCACTCTGGGCTCTCTCGCACTCACACAGGCCATGAAAGGATCACAGAAATCCAACCGCCTTCCTGAAGCACTGTGAAATCACAAGAGGCTGGAGGGCAGCCTGCCCTCCTAGGACTGTTCTTGGTCTTAGGTCTTTTGTCTACTCATGGTTGTCACAGTGACCACAGCGCCCTGTCCAAGCAATTCACCTGCCAGTGGTTTGGCAGTGCTGTGTTATGCCAAGTTGGCCCCAAAACCTAAGAGTTTACCCGTTGTAGGAGACCCAAAAAGAATCTATGTTAAGCATTTGCTGGTGCAGGGTGGAGGTCTCTAGGAAGAGGTGTTGCCTGAGATGGTGAGGTCAAAGGGCAACCGCCTCCCTCACAGACGTGAAGGAAGCAAACACCTCAGAGACCAGAGCTACCCTAGAGCACAGAGACCATTCAACCATCACGCTCCTTCTGCATTTGAGAAAATGGGGAGTCCAAGGGCCAAGGAGCTCATTTCTAGAGTCAACAGTTTACCAGGTTTTCCATTCTGGGTTTCTGGGGAGAAGAATCTGTCTTCTCACCTCCCACCGGCTTCGGCATCAAAACAGCTTTCAGAACCAACTCTCCTCACTTCTGATCTGAAATGGCCCAGCAGTCACCCTCCTCCCTCAGGGTGACCCCCACTAGCCATGTGAGCCTCCTACCTGCTGGCCCCTCCTGCACGAGGCCTCCACTTGCAGCCCCAAGCCCCCAAACATTTAGTGTACTGTAGGACCTCTAATCTCACCCCTGATTTAGGCCAGCTGAGGACAGTCTGAAACACTAATCTCAATTTTTTTTTTTTTTTTTTAAGTGCAGCTGTACTGCTCCAATGCACTCAGAATAGGCTCTTCTACCTTTCAGGTCATCTGTACCAATGAGGCAGAAAAGCATGGTTTGTAACGATCAAACCATCGTTGGAATCTTTCAAAGTGCTTAAATATATTTAATTAGCAAAATCATTCAACAGGTCCCTTACCCACACCACTGATTTGAAACACCTCTGCAGGCCCTTCCTGGTGCATAGGAAAGCAAACCAGCCTCATAAAAACCTACTTTCTACACAGTGCATTTGTGGTCTTTCTCTGGCAAGGGTGCATTCATGGCAAGAAGGACCGAGCGAGTCGAGTCTGTTTCTCCTGCACAGCCGGGAGCTCTAAAGCACACCAGCATTTCTGTCCATTCCTCCAAACACCCAGGCTTGGGGCTCAGGCTCCGGAAAAGGCCAACTGCAAAGCTCACAGTTCAGACCACACCAGAACACCAGCACCTCAGGAGGGGAGGGAATGGTGTCAGCTCAAAAATTCTCGGAAAAGACTCTACCCTGGCATTACCTAGTATCAGGACAGGGCCTGCACCTGCTTGTGAGCAAGCTGGGAGGACAAAGGCCAACAGCTGGAGGGAAGGGGGTGCCTAGGGCTGTCTCTCCTTCCTTCAGCAAAGTTCTCCTGCTTCCCATCCCACTGGGTGTATATGGGAAAAGACACCAGAAAAAGAGTTCTCACTTATCTATTTTGTTCTAGGCACAAGACACTTGTTGCCCATGCCTCACCTACCTGGTCAAGGAGGTAGCAGGCACAAGGCCTGCGGGATGCCGGGGCCACTTACCAGTGGGGGCTGCGGCTGGGGGTGCTGCCCTGCTCCCGAAGGGGGTGGGTAGTGCATAAGCAGATTGAAGGCCGAGTAGACGGTGTCTTTGTACATGCCGCTGGAGCACTCCGGGGCCTTCAGGCCTGGAAAAACCACAGCTGGGTCAGACGCGCCCGCCCGGGCTGTCAGGACCAGAGGGGTCTGCTCTCCAGAGTAATAATTGCCGAGGGGTCCCGTTCAAGTGGGACTTGAGAAAAAAAGCGCCGGGAGTGCCTCGGTACCGAGTTCCGACGAAGGACCCCGCGTCCAGGCCTCCCCTGGGCGGCCCCTACTTGACCCCAGCCCGCCCGCCGGCCAAGGAACCTGGGCCAACGCTTTCTCCTCAAGACTGGGGATTAGTCAGTCACCTGGGCAGGAGGGGAGGCGGAGATGGCGGGGGTCTGTTTACTCCTATAAAGGTCAGGGCACCGGAAGTGACTCGAGCCCGGCGGCGCCCGGGAAACCCGCCCCCACCCCACCCCCCGGTTTTGCCGCCTCCTTTAGTTGCCGTGCGGGGTGCACCCCCCCGCCACCCCCGTCCTCCGTGCCACCCCCTTTCCCACCGGGGCCTTAGCGGCTGGAGGGGAACCGGGCGGTAACTCACCGTCTTCCAGAGACTCTGGAAGTTTGTCGGGGAAAAGTCTCTGCGAAGCGTGTTCCCGCCCGAGAGCCTAAGGGGAGATCCAGAGGGGGCGTGAGGGGCGCGGGGCTCGCGGCCCGGGGCAGGAGGGGTCTGAGGGATGGGTACCCCAGGGGACCGGGAGGGCGGGGCGGGGCCAACCGGGCACGGGGGGCGGCGGGCTAGCGAGAGGCGCAGGGCTAGGGCCGGCGCTCACCTCGGCCCCGACCTCCGCCTCGCCGCGGGCCCCGGCACCGGCCCCAGGGACCCCCGCGCCGCCCGCCGCGCCCTCGGACTCATTGACCAGCGACGACTTGAGCTCGGCCAGGTCGCGCTCGGGGCCCGCGGCGCTGTCGCGGCTCTTGTCGTCCTGCTCCTCGCCCTCGTCCTGGAAGGCCAGCAGCTCGTCCGGCGCGCCGAGGTCGTCGCCCCCGCCCGCGCCGCCCCCGCCCGAGTCCAGCTGCGGCATGGTGCGCTCCGCCCGCGGGGGCGCGGCGCGCGG